GAGGGAGGGAGGGAGGGAGGGAGGGAGGGCCATGGCTCAGTGGTAGTGCATCTGCTTTGCATGCAGAAAGTCCAAGGTTTGATCTGCAGCATCTCCAGTTAAAGGATCAGGCAGTAGTTGATGTGAAAGACTTCTGCCTGAGATCCTGGAGAGCCACTGTCAGTCTGAGCAGACAATACTGACTTAGATGGGCTAGGGTTGCTGCCAGGTACTCACCACGCACTGGCAGGGGGTGGGAGGGAGCCTTCTGGGAGTGGGGCAGGGCTCCGCCCCCAAACAGCAGCATTGCTAATGTGATGACATCATGTGGAAGTGACACCATCATGTCGGGGACGTCACACAGCAACCCTCTGGTTTGAGAGCAAAACTCTATGGTAAAACTGTCGTAAAACTCTGTGGTAAGAACTCTATGGTAAAATTGCTATGATAAAAACCGTAGAGTTTTCCCCTCAGACCAGAGCATTGCCGTGCAATGTACCTGAAGCGACCTGGGGAATGGCAACTCAAGGCCGGAATGATGGATTGATGATCTTGATTCAGTATAAGGCAGCCTCATGTCTTCATCTAGATTTCAATTGGTAAAAGGTATCAGACTTGAGAGTTGACTAGTAAATTAGAAGGCATGATCCAGTGAAAGTGAGTGGAGATTTTCCATAGCATCACCACTGTGTATAGTGTGTTATGGTCAGGGGTCGTTTCGTAGAAAAAGAGCTAGGGGAACTCATTAGCATAACTCATTAGCATATGCCACACCCCCTGACATCACCGGAAGTGTGTCATAAGACCACACACCCCGCCTCCAACGGTCCCGGCTGCCGCTGCCGGCCTTGCAGCCCATGAGGGGCCCGGCGGTGGACCTGCAAGGCCGGCAGGAGTGCAAGGAAGCCCTACGAAAGCCTTCCCTGGCCCCAGGCAGGCAGGGGTGGGGAGAGGCAGGGAGGAAGCAACTTACCCTCCCTCTTCTCCTGCCTCCTCCTGGCTGAATGAGGGCCGGAAGCGGGGGGGCGGGGCGGAAGCAGGGGGCGGGGCTTCGTCATGTGCCCCGCCCCCGTACCTCACCCGGCAGAACTGCGATCCCCCACGTTCCCCCCCGAAATGACCTCTGGTTATGGTACTTGCTGAACTCCTTAATGCGGGCCAGTGTGGTGTAATGGTTAGAGTGACAGGCCCAGGATTCAAATCCTTACTCTGCCATGGAAGCTCACCGAGTGACCCTGGGCCAGTCACTCTCATGATCCTAATCTACTTCACAGGGTTGTTGTGAGGATCAAATGGTGGAGGGAGGAGGATGTAAGCCACCTTGGGGAGAAAAGCAGAGTATGAATATATGAATAAACAAACAAATAATAATTTAATGCAAAAAAACAGGACCCTGCCCCAAGAAGCTTATAATCTCTGTACTGCTACCTGTCTCCATTGCTGCCCCCTAAGCACTATGCCTAATTATTAGGGTTGCCAAGTCTCCCCTGGCTACTGGCAGGAGGTGGGGGTCAGTTGCCAGATCCAGGTTGGGAGACTCCTGGAGATCTGGGGGTGGAGCCTGGGGAGGACGGGGACCTCAGTGGGGTACAATGACACACAGTCCACCCTCCAGTCCATTTTCTCCAGAGGAACTGATCTCTGTAGTCTGGAGGTGAGCTGTAATTCTGAGGGGTCCCCAGGTCCAATGCTCCCTCTAAGCTGTGGAGTTTTGTGAGCAAAAATCCTACTTTGTGAGCTGCTGGCATTAAAGTTGTGAGCGAGCAACTTGGCTACTGCATAAATTAGTTTGCTCTGGACCCATCCTTCCTGAGCCAAGACAAAAATGCGTGAGCCGGAGGCTAAAAACCTGTGAGCTAGCTCACACTAACTCAGCTTAGAGGGAACAATGCCCAGGTCCCACCTAGAGGCTGGCTTCATACTTATCCTTTCTGCTTATCCACCTCCCCGTTATCCTTCTCTCTCTCTCTCTCTCTCTCTCTCTCTCTCTCTCTCTCTCTCTCTCTCTCTCTCTCCTCCCTCCTCCCCCACAAAAACAGCATGAAATAGGCTGTTATTCTCTCCCCCTAAGGGGCTGTGAGTCAGAGAGGTGGCAGGGGTGTGTGTGTGTGTGTGACTTGTCAAAGGCCGTGCCGTGAAGTCCTCCCTGAACTCAAAGTCCAAAAGTTTATCTGCTGTTCCAACACTTGTTCTCAGTAAACCCTCAGTCAGGTCCCGAGGTAAGCTGGGGCTACAGCTACAAAAGTAGAAGGCAGCTCTCATTAACTGCATTTCAAAACATGAATTCAAAAAAAAAAAAAACAAAAGCCCCAGCACGTTTAATATTATGTGTAATGGGTTACATTGGGCCAACTTTTTCACTCGATCTTGACCCATTCCTCTCCTCATCACAGCCTCCATCCCACATGGCTTTTGTCCATGCAGGTCTCTGATCGCCAGCATAACCTTTTTGGTGGTCAAAGGTCACCTGTGCCTCCTGTGTTCATCAGCAGAAAGGCAAGTTGGATCTAAATCAATATCCCGAGCCCTACAACTCTCTGTCCGTCGATGCCGCCATCCGTCGGGCATCTCTAGATAGTGATGCTTTGACAGCAGTTGCAGTCTTCAGAGTATGATTACTAAAAAAATGTTATTCTAAATTTTGTATGGTTTATATGTTTTTTTTAAATCAGTTAACCTCCTCGGGTCTCAGTTCCCTGGGAGAAAGGCAAGGTAATAAATGTTTTAAATAAAATAAATATATACATATATAAAGTTATTGATGTAAGACTGGTTGGAAAGGCCAGTTCTAAACAACTTGTTTGAGAAATAACTCTCCAGGCTGTGGTCACACACACTAAATAATCCACTTTCCAACTGGATTTTTGCTGTGTGAACTGGCAAAATCCAGTTGGAAAGTGCATTGAAAGTGCATAGGAAATGCACTGAAAGTGCATTGAAAGTGTGTGTGACCCCAGCCGTGAGGTAGGTGAGATTTCCACAGAACTTAAAGGACAGCAGTCTCAGTGTGAAAGAGCACTGGAACCAGAGTTGCCAGCTCTGGTTTGGGAAATACCTGGAGATTTTAGGGGTGGAGCCTGGAGAGGGCGGGGTTTTGGGAGGGAAGCTCAGCAAGGTATAACCCTCCAAAGCAGCCATTTTCTCCAGGGCCACTGACCTAGGTCATTTGGAGATCAATTGAAATAGTGGGGGATTTCCAGGTGCCACCTGGAGGTTGCAGCAAACCAAAGAGAGAGATCACGGGATGGAAGTTGAGAAGAAGCAAACAACCGTGATGTATTATGGCAAAAAAGTCTCCAAAGACTAGAAATTTCTTCCCCCAATATTCAGTTTACTGGAAGCAATTCAAACGCCATCAACACCAATGAACCATGCATATTATATCTTGTTTTGTATAACTTTATCAAAGTGGGTAGCGTTGAAATACCTACGTATATACAGGGGTCATTTCCTGCAGGAGCGCACAGGAGCAGAGCTCCGGCAGTAAAGAGCCCAGGGGGTGGGCACATGCAACAAGCCCCACCCTCTGCTCCCAGCAGCCCTCAGTCAGAGCAAGAAGCAGCCAGGTAAGCTGCAGAGCCCCCCACCCAGCCCCCTGGTCCAAAACAGTCCAGTGGCACCTTATTCAGGTACAAGCTCTCCCTCCTCTGTGAGGGCAGATCTGCACTCCCCCCCCCCCATAGCTAGCAATCCAAAACAGTCCAGTGGAGCCTGAGCTGTGGGTGTTGCCTTCTGACACACTTCCGGTGATGTCAGGGTGTGTGGCATATGCAAATAAGTTATGCTAATGAGTTATGCTAATGAGCTCCTGCACCTCTTTTTCTACGAAATGACCCCTGCATATAACATTAATCCATTTGGCAAACACTGTAATCATATCCCATAGCAGTCACTAATGGATCTGATGAGTGTTACTATGGGATATGATTAGAGTGTTTGCCAAATGGTTCATTGGTGTTGATGGTGTTCGAATTGCTTCTAGTAAACTGAATATTGGGAAAAGAAACTTGTAGTCTTTGGAGACTTTTTTGGCATAATACATCACGGTCGTTTGCTTCTTCTCATCAGCCCTCTGGAGGTTGGCAGCCCTTGCTGGAACAGATCTCAGGCAACAAAGACGGTTCCTTAGTCCTGATGAATGCAATTCTAAGAACACTTTCCTGGGAGTAAGTCCCACTGAATAAAATGGGACTCCCTCCAGAGTAGGCCTGCTCAGGATTACTTCCTAGAACCAGGGGTCATTTCCTGCAGGAGCTCACAGGAGCGGAGCTCCAGCAGTAAAGAGCCCAGGGGGCGGGCACATGCAACAAGCCCCACCCCCTGCTCCCAGCAGCCCTCAGTCAGAGCAAGAAGCAGCCAGGTAAGTTGCAGAGCCCTCCCCTCCCCCCTTTCCCAAACAGTCCAGTGGCACCTTTAAGACCAAGTTTTATTCAGGTACAAGCTCTCCCTCCTCTGTGAGGAAAGATCTGCACATTCCCCCCCCCCCAATAGCTAGCAATCCAAAACAGTCCAGTGGAACCTGAGCGGTGGGCGTTGCCTTCTGACACACTTACGGTGATGTCAGGGGGTGTGGCATATGCAAAATGAGTTATGCTAATGAGCTCCTGCACCTCTTTTTCTACCAAATGACCCCTGCCTAGAACCTTTCCACACCACTCACACATGCTCTTTCAAGACGCTGAGCCACTCCAACGATTTATAACCCATCAGAAACATCTTGTAAGAAGTTTCAGATTTTGGTTTTCCCCAAAGCCAGAAGCACAAATTTCTTTTGCAAGAGGAAAGTAAGCTTAGAACAGTTATGAGAAATTAAGATACTGTGAATCTCAAAAGCCCTTTTAAATCCATTTTACGTAGATTTCCTGAATTTTCTTTACGCACAGTCCATGACAACATATAAAATCAGCCCTGCGGGATTAGACCAATGGCCTGGGAAAGATACGGTAAGCCACTTGGTGATAAAAAGGGTATAAACATCTAAATATTTCAACCATAGATGCTAGTTGGCTTAAACAAGGCTTAGCCTGACACCATTATGTCTGTAGTGAATGGCCCCTGTGCTTATCCTGTCCTTTTGAGTTTTGCATAGAGATGTGACAAACTCTACCTCTTAAATGTCATGGCCTTTTAACTCCATCATTTCCCCCTTGTGTGTAGTTACATCTGCTGACCCGCTTCATGCATCTGATGAAGTAGGTTCTAGCCGTGAAACTTATGTTAAAAGCTATCATTAATCTTTTGGGTGATACAGAGATTCCTCTTTGGTTTTGCTGCAACAGGCTAACATGGCTACTCTGCTGCAGTTCAGCCGTCGGGTTGATTGCTTATTTTGTTGCCAGGGCTTAGGGAGGCGTAGCACTTTCAACAACAGGGCTAAACCTTGGAAGAAGCTATCTCTGCGTACGTACAGAGTGCCTGTCCATCGCCAATGAATGACTGCGTTTACTTAATAGTATGGCAGCAGGTTGTTCCTGGGCACAGACCAAGGCAAGATTTTTAAATATAATTGGCGAGCTTACAACCCTTTCCCTAAAGGTGTGTGTGTTGGGGGGGGGGGACCTTCCGCACTGATTTTCTGTCCTGTTTGTTGCCAGTGATCATCATCATCATCATCATCATCATCATCATCATCATCATCATCATCATCATCTATAGCCTATCTTTCTCACTGAAACTCAAGGTGGATTACAAAGTATGAAAAGTAATTCAATCAGAGAGTGAGGGCCTGAACTTGAAAATGGCACAAAAGACAACTGTCTAAGGAAGACATGTCAAACATACGGTCCAGGGACCATCCAGGGCTCTTATCCGGCCTGTGAGCAACTGGGGGGAAACCAGTCCAACCATGGACTGGAAGGGCCTGTATTAGGGTATTATAAAATGTCTTCGGACAACGCTGGCTCTTCGGCTTTGAAACGGAGATGAGCACCGCAACCCTAGAGTCGGATTCGACTGGCTTTCGAGCAAGGGAACCTTTACCTTTACCTTTAAGCCCTGCTGAGGTCCCTCCCTTTTCCAAACGCAGACCCTCCCCAGGGTGTTCCCCCAGATCTCCAGGAATTGCCCAACCCAGAGTTGGCAACCATAAGGGACCAGGAGGGTTGGTTTGGCACACATGGCCTAGCCCAACAAAGTGACAATCATGTCAGGTCTGGCCCTCATAACAAATGAATTCACCTCTGGTCTAAGGCAACAAAAACAGTGGGGAAAGGCAACTTAAGTATTTAAATATTGGCTCTCATCTTTATACATAAGTTTGCCCCCCCCCAAGCCATTTTGTTCTCCCAAACCTCCTCTCTTCTCCATTTCCAAACCAAGAAGCTTCCCTTATAGACCAGGCTAACCTTTTTTTCAGTCAGAGTGAGCTACAGAAGAAGTCAGCCAACAGGAAATGTATACAATTTACTTTGAACACTGAAGCTATTTATTTTCATTTCTACCCTACTTTTTCTCCACAATGAGCACCCAAAGCCACTGAAAACTTCCTCCCTTTCCCCACTTTATGCTCACAACAACCCTGTGAGGTAGGTTAGTTAGGTTGAGAGCAGGGGACTAACCCATGGTCACCCAGCGAGCTTCCAAGGCAGAGCAGAGATTCGAACCTGTGTCTCCCAGATCCTAGTCCAACCCTCTAACCGCTACCCCACCGCTACCCCACTCTGGTTCATAGGGAGAGGGAATCTGCCAATTTACTTTATGCCGGGTTTTTTGCACGCTGCAGTAGCTTGGCTTGGACCCAGCTGCCAGCAGCATGGGCCTGAGAGGGGATGCCAATCGTACCCCTTGCCACTAATGTCTGGGATTGAGCCAAGCCCTAGGGTGTAAAGGGGGGTCTTTTTCACTATGCCACCCCAAGCAATTGCTTAGTTGGTTGGGCTGGAGACTTGGGCTGTGGTCACATGGCAAGCTTACCGCGATTTGTTCCCGCTGTATATTTGATCGGGGGTATTTTTTTGCGGGTTGGGATGATCACACATCCCTCCCCGAACTGCTTGTATCACGTGACGAGGCTCCAGGCACCGTCCAGATAGCCGTGCTGCCCAGGCGCGAGGTTTTAAAATGTTTTTATTTGCGCATATGCATATGCACATGGCCAAATCACCGCTCCCACTTGGACCATTCCTAGGGACTATTTTACCGACATTCAACTTGCCATACTTCAACAGATGGTTGTTTTTGCAGTGTTTTTCCCCCTGAACAGCGAACAAAATGAACTACCAATGCACAACTGGGTGCTGGAGTCTATATATGTGCACTTGAACATTCATGCATTTACTACATTCAGGGCAGGACTGATCATGCGCACAATGGCAAAAGCTGGGGGGGAAATTCAGCGCAAGAAGGACATTCAGACGACCTAATCGCATTAATAGCGATAGATTGCTGCCCAGATTGGCGAAATTGCAGATTCACAGTGCAAATATTTGGAAAGTACTTGATTTTCTCAAGAAAAATCACTAGGAAACTGGGAGGATTGCTGGGGTGAGTCCGCTTTGATACGGGAGACAGATGCGGCTGTCTGATCAGCCCTTTTAAATATGATAGGGAACAGTGGTGAAACCCGATCAAAATGACCGTGTGACCACAGCCTTGGTCCTGCTTTCGGGGGAAATATCTGAAACTAGGGCTGCCAACCTCCGGGTGAGGCTTGGTGATCTCCCAGAGAGCCAGCGTGGTATAGCGGTTAAGAGCAGCAGGCTCTAATCTGAAGAACCGGGTTTGATTCCCCACTCCTCCACATGCAGCCAGCTGGGTGACCTTGGGCCAGTCACAGCTCTCTCAGAGCTGTTCTCCCAAGAGCAGTTCTCTCAGAGCTCTCCTCTCCACATACCTCACAAGTTGTATAAAACCTCTTCTTCTCCTCCTCCTCCTTCGCTAGTCTCCAGATAACAGAGATGAGTTCCCCTGGAGAAAATGGCTGCTTTGGGGGACTCTGGCATTGTACCCCACTGATATCCCTCTCCTCTCCTCCCCAAACCCTACCCTCCATTAGTGCCACTCCCCCACCCGATTCTCGAGGATTTCCCAACCCATTGGTAGGGTTGCCAGCTCTGGGTTAGGAAATACCAGGAGATTTGGGGGGTTGAGCCTGGGGAGGCTGGGGTTTGGGGAGTGGAGGGACTTCTGCATAGTAGAATGCTATAGAGTCCACCCTCCAAAGCAGCCATTTTCTCCAGGGGAATTGATCTTGGTAGTCAGGAGATAAGTTGTAAAAGCGGGGGATCTCTAGGCCCCAGGGCTCTTTTTGTAGAAAAAGCCCAGCAGGAACTCATTAGCATAATAGGCCACACCCAACAGCATAAACTCATTAGCATATTAGGCCACACCCCTGACGGCACAGCTCATTAGCACATTAGGCCGCACCCCCATGTTACCAGAAGTGTGGTCATCCAGCCACACCCACCTTTTGCTTGTTATTCTGTTGACCTTGCTTGTTGTCAAAACCCAGGGCCTTGTTTGTAGCAGGAACCTAGGGCTGCCAAATGCCCCCGGGGGGCGGAATTCCCCCCGCTTTCGAGCCCCTATTTCCGCTCCCAAACCCCACCCTCGTGTGCGCATCACCCCGCCCCCAGCGTGCGACGTCACTTCCGGGGGACGCGCACGCAGTCAAGCCAGGCCCAGGCTGGAACCACTCACCATCCCAGGAGCTGGATTCCACCCAGTCCGCTGCATTGAAGAGGGAAGCTGTGCCTCCGTAGCAGGCGTTGGTGGTGTCGATGCCCTCCACGTCTGTGTTCCCAGAGTCCTCAAACAGCTGCATCAGGACAGTCTTGACAGCTTTGGATTTGTCAATGATGGTCTCGGTGCCCACCTCCAGCCGGCCAATGGAGTCCCAGGAAATGCGGCTCCGCTCCACCAGGCGGTGCACCACGGTCAGGCACAGGGAGTTGATGTCCTCGTGGGCGGCGCAGAAACCCATCTGCTTCTGGCCCAGGCCGATGGTGTACTTCCCTGCCTCGACGCCATCGTATTTCTCCAGCTCAACCTGGTCCACGTACTGGGAAGGGAAGTACACCTCGAGAGCAAGGATGCCCACGTCCTTGGGCCATAAGGAGCTGGTCTGGGCCTGGGCGGGGTGAGAAGTTGTAGAGAACCTGCAAAGGAAGCAGAGAGGAGTCTTCATATGAGGAGGAGGGCTTCCATATTCAGAAGTCTACTCCATGTTTTATGATTGTCCTAGGGTCCCAGAATCTGGAGCAGTGCCAGGCCAGGTCTTACTTATAGTTCTACATAGGGTTGCCAAGTCTGGGTTGGGAAATACCTGGAGATTTGGGGGGTGGAGCCTGGAGAGGTTGGGGTTTGGGGAGGGGGAGGGGGAAGAACCTTGGCAGGATATAAAGCCATAGCATCTATCCTCCAAAGCAGCCATTTTCTCCAGGGGAACTGATCTCTGTTGTCTGGGGGATCAGCTATGATTCCAGAAGCTCTCTAGGCCCCACCTGGAAAGCCCAGCAGGAGCTCATTAGCATAATAGGCCACACCCAACAGCAGGAACTCATTAGCATATTGGGCCACACCCCTGACAGCACAGTTCATTAGCACATTAGGCCACACCCCCATGTTACCAGAAGTGTGGTTATCCAGCCACACCCACCTTTTGCTTCTTATTCTGTTTACCTTGTTTGTTGCCAAAACCCAGGGCTTTTTTGTAGCAGGAACTCCTTTGCATGTTAGGCCACACACCCCTAATGTAGCCAATCCTAATGAGTTTCTGCTGTTGGGTGTGGCCTATTATGCTAATGAGATCCTGCTGGGCGTGTTCAACTCGGGATCCAGCCGGAACTCCGTTCCTGTGCGTTCCTACCCAAAAATAGCCCTGCAAGTAACAAATAAATATACTCTGCAAGAAACTTTTGCAAATTAACATGTTCTATTTATAACTATCATTCTATAAAGTGCACAGTGTGCCATTATAACATCCTTGTCAGGTACATAGATGCAGTTCATTCAGTTTAACAACTACCAGTCAGTTTTGCATCAGTATTTTAAAAGTCAAGCCCCACCGGGAGTTTCCAGAATTACAAGCGCACTTCTACTTGCACGAAGTCTTCCAAAAGTCTTCAGAATGACAGGAGCGCTCTGTCCATGAATCTTAGCTGCACAATGTGTCTTTTGTAGGACTGGCAATAAGCAGGGCTATTTTTGGGCTGGAACGCACAGGAACGGAGTTCCGGCTGGCTCCCAAGTTGGCCACACCCAGCAGGAACTCATTAGCATAATAGGCCACACCCAACAGCAGAAACGCATTAGGATTGGCTACATTAGGGGTGTGTGGCCTAACATGCAAAGGAGTTCCTGCTACAAAAAAAGCCCTGGTTTTGACAACAAACAAGGTAAACAGAATAAGAAGCAAAAGGTGGGTGTGGCTGGATAACCACACTTCTGGTAACATGGGGGTGTGGCCTAATGTGCTAATGAGCTGTGCTGTCAGGGATGTGGCCTAATATGCTAATGAGTTTCTGCTGTTGGGTGTGGCCTATTATGCTAATGAGTTCCTGCTGGGCTTTTTCTACAAAAAGAGCCCTGGAAGCATCAACAAAACTACAAATGAAAGTGTCCCCCCCCCTCTGGAGGACTCCGTGCAAGTAGAAGCCCTCAAGGCAACAACTTCTTGGCACTCTGATTGATCTGGGATCTAGATTCAGTGGCCCCTCGATAAATAGCCTCGATGGCTCTCCCGCTTCCTCACTGACCTCCTTTCTGTTCCAGAGCCTAATCCTCAAACTACGACCATCCTGTCTCTAAATCCCGTAGACTGGCAATGGAGGTTAATGTTTAATGCAGAGGCCTTTGGCTGGGCCAGTGCAAGGTCAACACTGCTGGACGGGACTGCGGATTAGGGCCAAAGGGCATTTCTTTCAAACTTGACTCATATTGTAAACCGGCATAGTTCGTAAACTCTTACGTTCCTCGGCCAGTGGTTACATTTCATTAGTAAAGGTAAAGGTCTCCCTTGCTCGAAAGCCAGTCGAATCTGACTCTAGGGTTGCGGTGCTCATCTCCGTTTCAAAGCCGAAGAGCCAGCGCTGTCCGAAGACGTTTCCGTGGTCATGCGGCCGGCATGACTAAACACCAAGGCGCACGGAACGCTGTTACCTTCCCACCGAAGTGGTCCCTATTTATCTACTTGCAATTTCTTGCTTTCGAACTGCTAGGTTGGTAGGAGCTCGATCTAGAGATGGGAGCTCACGCCGTCATGCGGCACCCCCTGGTCTCGAACAGCTGAACTACTGACCTTCCACAGCCTGCAGTTCAGCGTCTTAACCACTTGAGCCACCGCAGCTCCTTACATTTCATTAAGTTGTCTTAAATTGGTTACCCCAATGATCCCCAGCGTGGCGCCCGGCGGCACCATGGTGCCTGCCAACACTTTTTCTGGCTCCCACCAGATGTTTTCAGAAAGCGGGTGGGGCCAGGTGGGCTCCTGTCCAGTAGGAGGAGGAGAAGAGGAGATCAGATGTATACCCCGCCCTTCACTCAGAGTCTCAGAGCGGCTTACAAACTCCTTTCCCTTCGCCTCTCCTCAACAGACACCCTGTAAGGTAGGCGGGGCTCAGAGAGCTCTCTTAAGAACTGCTCTTTCAAGGACAGCTCTGACAGAACTATGGCTTGCTCAAGGTCATCCAGCAGCTGCAAGTGGAGGAGTGGGGAATCCAACCCAGTTCTCCCAGATTAGAGTCCGTGCACTTAACCACTACACCAAACTGGCTCTCAGTACGAATTCTGATTGTCCATTGGAGATTTGATCGGCTGTAAAGATTAAAATAACATTTTAGTGACAGCTGTCGCTACAGTGCTGGTTTGATTCTCTGACTGTTCCTTCCTACTGTGGCCATTTTGTGGTTGTGCCCTGTCCATCACGTTGTGTCAGAATTCAGAATATGCCCGCAGACTCGAAAAGGTTGGGGACTCCTTGGTTAACCTGTTGTAAAGCTGATTCAGATGTTCACATGAACACTACGAAGCTGCCTTATACTGAATCAGCCCCCTGGTCCATCAAAATCTACTCAGACTGGTGGGAACAGTTCTCTGGGGTCTCAGGCAGAGGTCTTTCACATCACCTACTACCTGATCTTTAACTGGAGATGCTGGGGATTGAACCTGGGACCTTCTGAGTGCCAAACAGATGCTCTACCACTGAGCCACAGCCCTTCCGTTGCGCCTTTCCTTCCCAAAGGAATACCGGTATAAAGAGTTCTGTACGGAGAATGTTTTGAGATGAAAAGAAACCCATGTGAATCCCGTAGGGATGACCTATGAAAAGAAATGGCATGGCTTTTGCTGTCTGCCCAGAGATTGTCTCCTTTTGCAAAAGACCAGTGGAGTTGGCAACTGGATGTATTCATCCGGGTGGGAAACAGATTGATAGGACTGTCTCCTTGGTCTTCCTGAAAAACAGGAGATGCAACTGCGCGTGGGAAGAGCTTCATGCATTAAAATAATGGAGCTGCAATATTCAATTCGTTAATTGATTAGAAGAATTGATTTAAAAACATATGATGGACTCAAAAGATGCCCTCATTTAGCTGGGCAGGAGATATCATGATTTTTAATGCAGCCGTTTATACACAAAGCTGGTGGCGCACACAGGAGTCTAGAGTTGGATCATTTTCTTTCAAAGTAACTCATTTGATCAGTGCAGGGGCAGGGGCATATAGATGCTGTACCTGCATATCACCTTCTGCACTCATCTAATAACAGTTTTCAGGCGGGCTTAGACTTGAAAATGAGCTGGGGGGAGAGTTACACACACTTCTCTTTCTAGGGTTGCTGCTGTCATTCAGTGCGGAGCCCATGTGCTGGTTGTACAACAAAGATGGCTCGTCCTGTCACAGATCTTCAGCATACCATGTGATTTGGCCCTTGAAAGAGGTATTCTGTCTGTGATTTGGACTGCAGAAGAGGCATTCCCCCTTCCCTCTCACTCAGAAAGAAAATCTGTTCTTTAGATGGTGCCTACAGCATTACATGTGCAATTGAGGACCACTGTTGCAGAATGGTTAGAGTGGATCTGAGATACCCAGGTTCAAATCCCTACCCAGCCATAGAAGTTTGCTGGGTGGACTTGGGCCAGTCACACAATATTCTCAACCCAATTTACCTTACAGGGTTGTTGTGTTGGCTGATCCAGACTCCAAGATGCATAATTGTTCAAGCATTATGCTCAAGTCAAACTTTCCAAGCAGGAGATGGCTATACAACAGTCCTGAGCTGAAATGTTCCCGTTATACAGCCCGCAGTTGTCATAATCGCCCAGAGTTGCCCTCTCCCACCGGACCTACCTGTTTTGCTGCACAGCTGCAGGAAAATGGACTGGGCAAAGGGACCTCTGCAGTCCCTGCTTCACCTGCAAGCAACGCTTTGCCTGGCTGAAAAGTCGAAACATTATCACAGGTCGGCTTGGGAAGCGAGCAAGATGCAGAAGTAACCGTCCTCCCTAGCTCCTCTGGCTTTTAAAAGGGATTTTCTGAACCCCTCAGTCCACAGCAAGCTAAGTCCCTCCCTGCCCTTATCAAGGGAACAACTGGTATGTACGACGCTATTGCACAAACAAAGGTCATTGCACACCGGCAAGCTCAGTGAAGCTTCGGTACCTCTTCTGCTGCATCTAATAAGTCACAGGAGGTTCCTTTTTCGGAACAGGTCATCTCTGAACAATGAGCTCTCTTGCTTCATTGCTGCTGCGGCCTCTCTCAGGACTTCCCTTCCCGAAGGAAGCTGTTTCCTCTCCTTCCATCATCATTCAGCTCCGACCCATGGCAAACGCAAAATGCTCACCTTGACGAACGGAGTGATCGGCAAGGGAATCCCTGTGATAGTCTCCTGGTGCTTTGAATGTCTTGAGCATGAGGAAAAGACTCCAAGATGCTGCAAAACACTAAAAAGCCCAGTAGCACCTTAAAGACAAACAAGCTTTATTGTAGCATAAGCTTTCAAGAAACACACCTCTCTTCATCAGATGGATCTATGACCAAGATGCTGCAGGCACTATTGGGCAGTGTTCCCTCTGGGCTGAGTTAGGGTGAGCTAGCTCACAGTTTTTAGCCTCCAGTTTGCTCTGGGGCCATCCTTCCTGAGCTAAGACAAAAATGTGTGAGCTGGAGGCTACCAGCGCCATTTCCCCTCCATAACCCTCATGCCTGCCATTCCCACCATAAGCAGCACTGGAAGGCTTTTGCGTGTGGGGAAAGAGCTGCGGTGGCTCAAGTGGTTAAGACACTGAACTGCAGGCTGTGGAAGGTCAGTAGTTCAGCAGTTCGAGACCCGAGTGTGCCGCATGATGGAGTGAGCTCCTGTCTCTAGTTCCAGCTCCTGCCAACCTAGCAGTTCGATAGCAAGAAATTGCAAGTAGATAAATAGGTACCACTTCGGTGGGAAAGGTAACAGCGTTCCATGCGCCTTGGTGTTTAGTCATGCCGGCCACATGACCATGGAAACGTCTTCGGACAGCGCTGGCTCTTCGGCTTGGAAACGGAGATGAGCACCGCAACCCTAGAATCGGACTCGACTGGCTTTCGAGCAAGGGAACCTTTACCTTAAAGTACTATCAAGTCACAGCCGACTTATGGTAACACTTCATGGGGTCTTCAAGGCGAGAGACAAACGGAGGTGGTTTGCTATTGCCTGTGTCTACGTAGTGACCCTGGTCTTCCGTGGCAGTCTTCCATCCAGTTACTAGCCAGGGCCGACCCTGCTTAGCTTCTGAGATCTGATGCGATCAGGTTAGCCTGGGCCATCCAAGTCAGGTCTTTTGGCCTGTTAGTTTCTATACCACTATAAAAACCTGTTAGCTTCTATACAACTATAACATCCAGGGGTCATTTCCTGCAGGAGCGCACAGGAGCGGCGCTCCGGCAGTAAAGAGCCCAGGGGGCGGGCACGTGCAACAAGCCACACCCCCTGCTCTCAGCAGCCCTCAGTCAGAGCAAGAAGCAGCCAGGTATGTTGCAGAGCTCCCCTCAGCCCCCCAGTCCAAAACAGTTCAGTGGCACCTTTAAGACCAAGTTTTATTCAGGTACAAGCTCTCCCTCCTCTGCGAGGACAGATCTGCACGTTCCCCCCACACACGCACAGTAGCTAGCAGTCCAAAACAGTCCAGTGGATCCTGAGCGGTGGGTGTTGCCTTCTGACACACTTCCGGTGATGTCAGGGGGTGTGGCACATGCAAATAAGTTATGCTAATGAGTTATGCTAAGGAGCTCCTGCACCTCTTTTTCTACAAAATGACCCCTGATAACATCACAACACAATATGGCAATATGGCTACTACTGATTTTTGAAAAAGCTAGAATTGTTTATTTATCATGTGGCGGAGTTACACACAGGAAGTATATAATAGTATAAAATATGTAACTGAGTTGATACAATGGGCAATCTCCTTAAATACTGATATCTAGACCTTCAATCCATTCAGTCACACAGCTGGGGAGAGTACATAGAGCTCCATCACATCTCCCTGGAAAGCACAGCGCTCACATTCCTGTGACAGATGGAAAATAGTTTGACGAGCTGCACCACAATTGCATTTGGGTCCTGGTGCTTTGCCCCATTTAAACAATAGGTCTGTGCTCTGGCCAAAGCTTGTTCATATTGTATTAGCCGTCTTCCATACTTTACATGGCAAGCAATGCTTCCTCTAATCTGTACAGTCTTGCGAGCAAAAATTCTACTTTGTGCGCCACTGGCATTAAAGTTGTGAGCGAGTGATTTGGCTGCTGCGTCAATTAGTTTGCTCTGGAGCCATCCTTCCTGAGCTAAGACAAAAATGTGTGAGCTGGAGGCTAAAAAGCTGTGAGCTAGCTCACACTAACTCAGCTTAGAGGGAACACTGATTGCAAGTCAAATCCTGAGAGCCACTCATTGCTGTTTATCAGGTTATGGATATCGGGCGGAACTAACTGCATCCATGTTCGCGACCATTCATTCCCTAGAACAAAATTCAGGATTTATGCAGATCTTCTTGTTGGGTGGGATGGACATGGGAGGAAAACATGGAGAATTTCCCCATGTGGACACTCCGTTGCTGCTCTGAAGGCCTCTCCAAAGGTAACTGCACGTTTCTCCCATTGGGGAGAAAGGGAAGGTATAATGAATTAAATAAAAATAAAATGTATTGGACACTTCTGTGGCTTTTGGTTCTTTGGTTAAGATTCCTAGCCAGCCCATATTAAAAGGCTGATCTACATACAGGTTGGGTCGAGGATTCCTACCTTGTATAATGTGTAACAGTCAGGCATGAGTTGCAGGTTCTCAGTTCCTGTGTGCACTGCACCCAACTTGGATTACAACTCCGATGTTGGTGGAAGAGGAGCTTCCGCTTCCCAGTGACATTTTCCTGACCTTAAACTGTTCACTGGGAGGGGCACTCTTTGGCCCATCGGGGAAACCCACAATCTGTTACATATTACACAGGGTGAGGACCCTTAGATCCAGCCTGTGCATTCCATAATGTACTTGGATTGCCTTCCCTGGAAGTTCAGCAAGACAGCTGTCCAAACGTTGCCCTTCAGAATCCCCTGATGTAATTGATTGATATTAATTTATGGAGAATAACTAATTCATGTTGATTTATAATGGACAGGAAGATGCAGTCTGGGATGAATGCAGAGGTCGATTCGGGGGGGATTGTGGGGGATTGCAGTTCCCTCGGGTGAGGTGCGGGGGCGGAGCACATGATGAAGCCCCGCCCCCTGCTTCCGGCCGCCCCGCTTCCGGCCCTCATTCAGCCAGGAGGAGGCAGGAGAAGAGGGAGGGTAAGTTGCTTCCTCCCCGCCTCTCCCCACCCCTGCCTGCCTGGGGCCAGGGAGGGCCTTCGCGGGGCTTCCTTCCCCTCCCGCCGGCCTTGCAGGCCCACCGCCGGGCCCCTGATGTCAGGGGGTGTGGCATATGCTAATGAGTTATGCTAATGAGTTCCCCTAGCTCTTTTTCTACTAAACGACCCCTAGATTAATGTATGATAAAATAAATTTTAATTCTTGTTTTACTCATAGGAAATTATCATGGCAGTTTTTATTGGGTTAAATGTAAAAAACCCAAAAAACCTCATTTTCCTTGGAAGCTTTTTCGCAGTATCCCCTACTTTCTATGTTTCCCGGTTAAGGGGGAAATGCTCTTCAAACAAATTACAAAAATGACCTGACTCCAATGTTAACAAGAGAAATAAATTTGACTTACAAAAATAGAATCACATCTTACATGACATATACATGTAGGTACGTTCAACTTATCATGAAAAGATTAGCTTCAAAAAGGTTAACTTGCTACAGCTCCAAGCCCAGGTAAGAGAGAAGAAGAAGAGAAGTCCTATATAGGATGAAAGAGAAGGCAAGCGAGGGCCCAAGAGGCTCAACATCTAACTGAGGAGAGGGTGGGGCCGACTGCCAGGTGTACCCGAGAGAATTCTCTTAACCCTTTTCCTTCCAGATCCTCTTGCATGCAGAGGTACAATATCTGAGTTTTCCAGACATATTTCGGAAGAGGAGGAGGAGATTGGGTTTATACCCCGCCCTTCACTACCCAAGGGTGTCTCAGAGCGGCTTACAAACTCCTCTTCCTTCCCCCTCCCAACAACAGACACCCTGTGAGGTAGGTGGGGCTGAGAGAGCTCTTGACAGAAACTGCTCTTTTTCAAGAACAGCCCTTATCACAACTAAGGCTTGCCCAAGGTCATCCAGCCAGGTGCAAGTGGAGGAGTGGGGAATCAAACCCGGTTCTCCCAGATTAGTGTCTGCGCACTTAACCACTACACCAAACTGAGACATCTCGAGCTAAGGGGGTATCGGTGCCTTCTCCTCATTTTATGAGCTTCAAGCTGCGTAACCTACTTGACGCGGCAGGGAGAGCTATCATTTATCTTCCTGAACCTTAACAAGACGAATGCGACCCTTGAGATTTGAATTCCGAAGGGGGACTGCTGTGTTAGTTTAGTGCACCAAAAAGCAAACAGGAGTCCAGTCCTTAAAGACTATTCCAGTAGTGTAGCCATGTTGATCTACTGTAGCAAAACAAAACCAAAGTCCAGCGGCACCTTAAAGACTAACAATATTTATTCCAGTAAGAGGTTTCATGGAGGGAAGGCAGCGTGGCATAGCCCAATCTCCTCATATCTCAAAAGCTAAGCAGGGTTAGGTTTGCCAGGTCCCCCCCCCCCTGGCCACTGGCAGGGAATGGGGGGATGGAGTTGCCAGATCCAGGTTGGGAAACTCTTGGGAGATATGGGGATGGAGCCTGGGGAGGACAGGGACCTGTTGGGGCACAATGCCATAGAGTCCACCCTCCAAAGCATCCACTTTCTCCAGGGGAACTGATCTCTGTAGTCTGGAGATGAGCTGGAATTCTGGTGGATCCCCAGGTCCCACCTGGAGGCTGGCATCCCTAGCCAGTACTTGGAAGGAAGACCATCCAGGAAGGCTCCGCAGAGGAAGGCAAGGCAAACCATCTCTGCTTCTTACGGCACTTTACACACACACATGAGGTTCCATGAGTCATGACCTCTGTCTCATGAAATCTCTTGGAGTGAATTTTGTTAGCCTCTAGGGTGCCCCTGGACGTCTGTTTTGTTTCCCTGAGTAAACAGATGTTATTCCAGCATAAGCTTTCATTGAGAAATTACTTCATTAGATGCAAGTAGTGAGTGGGTCTTCAACAGGCAGACATTTGTAGATGAGATTATGAAAGAAAACTTTGTAAACAGTAGGTTGAAAGGGTGAAGGAATTCAGGACGTACAGGGTAAGATGCAACTATCAAATTCCAAACCAATCAAGAAAAGGACAGAGACCATTCACAACAGTTGTCAGCCTCCCTAGATTTCCTAAACCAGTTAACACAGGTAATTTTATTTTATAATGGTTCAGGAATCCCAGAGTTGACTAAGATAGCTGACAAAACATCTGCAATGATGAAGGAACCCAAGGTTCTTGATGTGGGACAACTGCACCAGCTTTTTCATCCCTTCTAATTCAGCAGTGCCCTGGCCCAAGCTAGACTGATCTCATCAGGTCTTGGAAGCGAGGTAGGGCCAACCCTGGTTAGTGCTTCAGTGGGGGGAACCACCACCAAAGACGTCCAGGGTTGCTATGCAGAGGCAGGCAATGGCAAACCACCTCTGTTCATTTCCTGCCTTCAAAACCCTACAGAGTCATTGTAAGTTCCCTGTGACTTGATAGCACTTTAGAACTGTGTCCTACAAGTGTCTCCCTTTTGTTGAAGAATTATGACATTTAACTCAGCAGCTGTGTGTCCTTGAGGCTGAAATTTTTCTCTTACTGGTTCCTGAGTACTGTCATTTTCATGTCAGATTTGTATCCATTTATACATTTGCATAGGGGCTGCGGTGACTCAAGTGGTTAAGACACGGAAGGTCGGTAGTTCAGCAGTTCGAGACCCGAGTGCCACGTGACGGAGTGAGCTCCCGTCTTTGGTCCCAGTTCCTGCCAACCTAGCAGTTTGAAAGCAAAACATTGCAAGTAGACAAATAGGTACCGCTTCGGTGGGAAGGTAACAGCATTCCGTGCACCTCGGCGTCTAGGCATGCCGGCCACATGACCACGGAGAAGTCTTTGGACAGCGCTGGCTCTTCGGCTTTGAAACGGAGATGAGCACCGCAACCCTAGAGTCGAATTCAACTGGCTTTTGAGCAAGGGAAACCTTTACCTTTATACTTTTGCATATTTATTTGTACATCTTTATCCTACCCTTCCTCCAAAGAGCTCAGGGCAGCCATACATTGTTCTCTTCTTCATTTGATTCTCACAAGAACTCCATGATGTCGGTCAGGCTGGTCCAAGCTCACCCAGCAAACTTCATGGGCAGAGTGGGAATTTGAACCTGGGTCTCCTAGACCACTATACAATACAGGTTCTCTAAGGACTCACCAGTCTGTCTTAGAGAACAGGAGGGTGACACGTGTTCGCATCCATCACAGTGGAAGATGAGTAAGTGAAGGCATCCAAGATGGCACGGCTGATGTTAATGTGTATGTTCACTAATGTATATGGGGACAAAATTGGCTTGGGTGTAGTGATTAAGTGCACGGACTCTAAACTGGGAGAACCAGGTTTGATTCCCCACTCCTCCACTCGCAGCTGCTGGATGACCTTGGGCAAGCCATAGTTCTGAGAGGTGTTTTTGAAAAAGAGCAGTTTCTGTCAGAGCTCTCTCAGCCCCACCTACCTCACAGGGTGCCTGTTGTGGGGAGGGGAAGGGAAAGGAGTTTGTAAGCTGCTCTGAGACTCCGAGTGGAGGGTGGGGTGTAAATCCAATCTCTTCTTCTTCTTCTTGGTTTGCTGCAGGGACTGATCCCCAGGTTTGTGTCCTTGTTAAGTAGTAAGCTGTTGTTGGGAAGAAGCCATTCTAGGTTAGAGGGCTCTCTGTAAGCAAGGAAAGTCCTGTCACTCAAGTTCTGTGTGAGAGGTATGAAGTTCTATGTGAGAAAAGTATCTGTGTGACAAAAGTAATGATGGAGGTCCAGGTAGCAGCCACTGCCAAGTTGGCCTTTTACCAGCTTCGGCTGATTAGGTAGCTGGTTCCCTTCCTCGAACGCAGTGACCTGGCAACAGTGATCCATGCATTGGTCACCTCAAGATTGGACTACTGTAATGCTCTCTACATGGGGCTGCCCTTGTCCCAAATCCAGAAGCTACAGCTGGTGCAGAATATGGCAGTTAGGCTGTTATTGGGTCTCCCCTTGCGGGAGCACATTCAGCCTGCACTGAAGGCACTGCACTGGCTACCTATAGCATACTGGATTCGGTTCAATGTGCTGGTTCTTACCAATAAAGCCCTATATGGCCAGTGTCCTGCATACCTGAGGGACCACCTTTCCCCATATGTTCCCCAGAGAGTACTACAGTTGAGGTCACAAAATCTCCTTGTCCCCCCGGCCCAAAAGATGCCAGGCTGGCTGGCCACAACCAGGGCGGGAGCTTTCTTGGTAGTGGCCCTGCTTTGGTGGAATGAGCTCCCAGAGGACATCAGGGCCCTGAGGGATTTATTACAATTCCGCAGGGCCTGCAAGATGGAGCTCTTCCACTAAGCATTTGACTGAGGTGCCACACTTAATCAGCCCAAAATTGACTGAGGAACCAGTGCTTGGTATATACATCTTTGGCTGCCTGCCTCTGTTTAGGTGCTTAACATCTACGCCCACATTATATATGGGGCCCAACACCAGCTTGTTATCTAACGCTGATCAGATTTTCTATGGGGACAATTAAGGGCAGTTAATTCGCCACCAAAACTTGGAACACTTTATGAAGTGTTTTAGATTTTATCTTGCTTTATTCTTTGAAGTTGTGTGATATTTGTGGATCCGTAAGCTGCCCTGAGCCTGCTTTGGCGGGGTATAAATAAAATAAATCATTATACAAATAGATGGTCAGTCCAGGATGGGCTGTAGAATATTGATAGTGCATCGGACTGGCCTGAACTGGCAGCTGGAAGTGACAGCTGGTGTTTTGTCACTGATATAAAGGCAGTCTTGTAGGAGGCTATTTATAAGCCCCAGACCTGGATGGCCCAGGGTAGCCTGATCTCGTCAGAGCACAGAAGCTAAGCAGGATCGACCCTGGTTAGTACTTAGATGGGAGACCCATCAAGGAAGTCCACAATTGCTATGCAGAGGCAGGCAATGGCCAAACCTCCTCTGTCTGTCTTTGTCTTGAAAACCCTACAGGGTCACCATAAGTCAGCTGTGACTCGACACCACTTTCCACCACCATTTATGGATGCCCGTTTGGCCCCGTTCATCTAATTCTTCAAATCACTGGGTGGGATTTTTAACCTCAAGAATGCCATACGATAAATCCTATAGGTGTAAGTCCCTCAAAGAACTGGAGCACGTGTGGTCATAACACAGCATTTGGCTGTATAGATGTCCTCACGGTGGTAGTTAAGAGTGTGTAAAAATGCATTGTGGTTAGTAGGCTTTTGGTGTAAGGTGGTACTTAATGTGTTCATCATATAGTTCTAGAGTGGTGTCCTGAATATGTCCCTTCGGTTTACACTGTTCCAAATGCAAGCTGATGTTGGGGTAAAACTGTTGAAGTTCTGGTGAATTCTCTTGGGGGCTCACCTGATATGATATACTAGAGAGGGGCCAGCAAGGAATTGGAGAGAGGGGAAACCCCATTCCCTTCCCTTCCTCCATCACTCTTGCCCAACCTCCGAGCCGTCACTTCCTCCATCTCACAGGCACAATCTTCCCCTTCTCTCCACCAGTCACTCCTTGATCTTGCTTCCTTCCTTCCTTCCTGTCCTTTCCTCCCTGGGTGGCTCCACCTACCCACTCTCTTCTCCCCCCCCATCTCAGCAGCTCACCCACCTATTGCAACTCCTGCAGTATCTCCTCTCCTCTCATTTGCTTCTGACCCTCCCCTAATCCACCGCTGCTTGCAGCTCTGTTTTTCACATGCAATTTGGAGAACACAAGATTACAATCATTTTTTTTCTGCAAACCTGGGCTTTCCAAAAACCCATACCAACCCTGGGTGGTCCCACTGTGTAGAGTTTTTGATCTACACTCAGCAGAAGGGAGGAACCCATGGCTATTATTTAAATACTGGTGCCAATATCATTATTATTTTTCTTGAATGAAACAGACCGCAGGAAACTACCTTGAATCATCTATCAAGCTGTACCCAACCTCCAATTTATGTCAGGCCAAACTACGACGTGTTTGTGGGACGAAAGATTAGCTCAGTTAATATTTTACACGTTGGGTAAGTGAGCAAGGGAGACACTTTGTAATGCGAGGTTTATTTTGAAGATACGGCAGTCTGCCCAAAAAGCACATTTGGCCAAAGGTCCTACTTAGCCTGTGCACGGCAGTGTTGACAGAGGTACCAGGGTATTTCTCAGCTTATCATGTGATTTCTTCCTTGACAGTGTAAAGCAGGAGACAAATTAAAGGTTCTTCTGGAGAAGGAAGAAACAGATTTAAGTTCCACAATACACTGAACAAGGAAGGAAGTGGTAATGGGGGGGGGGGGCGTCCTGCATACATTTGCAAATCAGGAATCCTTTTGAATCAATTGCAGTTTTGTATTACTACATAATGACAATTCTCTTAGCCAGTGGAAGATTACAGGTTTAACTAAGGACTCCAAAGTCCTACAACTATATAAGGGGAATGGCGATACATGCTACTACCTACATAGCAGAGGCTTTGAAGTCACAGGACTCTAGCATCCGCAGAAACTTGTTTTAATATATTTTGCAGAACTTTACTGAGTAGAAGAACATTTACAGAAAAACAAATACTGGTAGAGTGTCCAAGACAAATAGGTGGTTGGCATAGTGCAAACATTAGCTGGTTTAGGGAGGATACCATGAAACCGCTTAATTAAAAAAACAACAACACATTTCTGACATATATTTAAGAAATCGGATCAATACATATACACACTTCAAAGTACCAGGATGAGTAGGGGTTTCTGGGGCACAGAGATCAGGGCGGGGCATTTCCTCAGCCTGTGTCTTTCCAAATTTCACCCACTGCTACACATTTGCGTGTCCAACTGAGGCGAAAGGTCATGGAGAAAATACAGGGGAAAGATCAAGACAACAGACAAACACCTTTGAAACTGCTGAGGAATCAAGAAAACACAGGGATTAGAAACAGGACTGGAGGGTTAACTAAGCTGTAACAGAAGGGCAGGGTTAGGGATAATAACCTGCGGGCTGCATTCAGGGGACAATCCAAACAGCCATGTACTGTCCCAGATGGATTAGCTGGCTGCTTTCTGAAGCCAGATTTATAACCTTTTTGCTCTTAAAAAAAATTAGGCATCCTGGATTTGGTCCAGTTGCTGACAGCCTGAGCACCTGGCAGTGTTGACATGGTTTGTGCCAGGTTATGAAATGCCAACCTCAAATGCTCTTTCTCTTCCAGCAATATTGGCCCCATATTTTTTAAAATATGCCCATTTTTGAAATTTGTAACTTTATACAACCCACAACTCTCCAAGAAGAAGGGCAGGATATAAATACAGGAGGATTTGCAAGGGACAAAGGCTGTAGACCTGATGTATACTTGGGTGTAAACACAACTGAACTCAGTAGAACTTAGTAAACATGTGACATATCTGGCTGCCTGGCAGAGAAAGAAATGAGTTTTTGTTGTTGTTTTTTTAAAACACCAACCTTAAGAAAGGGGTTGGAGAGAAAGGTCATCCACTGATGTGTATAGAAGTAACCACACAAACAGCTGTAACATAACAACTGTAAGGGAATTTGTTTTGAATCAGAACACAAAAGCAACCATGGTAGTCAGCTACATACAGATGAATTTTTACTAGTTAATGTGTCTGAGGTTTATGCAGTGACCAATCTTCATTCCATTCCTGGCACTTACTTTCCTGATATGTCCTTTGCATGACACTTTATTAACATTCCTAAATACATGTTGAGTTCCAAGGCTAATCAGTCACCATAAGCCCTCGATAAGCTGCCATCTCACTGTGATCCTAGAGCTGGGCTTCTTTCGCCCTTCGCTTTCCAAACAGCTATGTGCTTTTCCCTGACTTCTGCAGCCGGCTGGCGCTTGGCTGCCGCGGTATTCGTTGGCCGGATCCTTCCCGGCTGCTGTGATCGGACAGGGTTTGGGGCCCGGCTGTTGTGGGACCAGTTCTGGTTCTCCCTGGAAGGACAAAACAAAGGCCAACGTTCAGGGCTTTGTGATGAACAAACTGCAAACCAGAGTTGCTCAAATGTGAAAAAATAAATCGACATTTCACTCAGGTGATGCTCAGTATGAGCTGCAGTCTAACCAGCATTTAGGAACAGCAGCCACACCAAGCCACACTCAAATCGGAGGTCAGTTCAATGTCACAAAAAGTTATAATACAGGAAGGGCTTGTTTGATTGATTAACTCTTATTTTGGGTCATCCTGATTTGTACAAGTAGAGGCAAAACCAAACTGCTGCAGCTGCAATCCTAAGAAGTGTTTCCTGGGAGTAAAGCCCACTGAATCAAATGGGCCTTACCTTCACACTAGACCTGCTTAGGGTTTTCCCCTATGTGGCACAATTAAAGCCCCAATCTTTAGTTCATTTCAACTCATGAAGCATATCAGCTAAAACTTTAATCACCAATTCAAATGTCTTTTCCCACTGATAACGTGGGACTGAAAGTGATCTCTATGCGGACATGCCAGGTCTCCCTTTGCCAAGTAATATTCTGGAAACAAACACACATTAAATATGATTATTCCATGAAGCTCACCTCTGAAGTCTGCAAATATTTTGCATTTCAGAAAGAAAGAAAACCTCAGATCGCCTAAGAATGACAGACTACTTGTTCAATATGAACACAGTTATCTTTTAAATCTAGATCTATGGAACTACCATAGACCATGCCCTACATTCCAGATTCTCGAATTAAGAAAACAATATTAAAGACGGCTTTCCTTCCTAACAATAATTCTGCCAAATGTTACATTATCACACGTGAGAAGCTCGCCCCTTCTATTATATTTTAAAAAGATGTAATCAGTGACTTACAAATATGATGTCCTCAAGAAGGCACACGCAGAGTTTGACAGTATGCAAATATATCGATATTCTTATGGATTTTTAAAAAGGCTCGCACTGGCAAGCACATCCACTGAAGGCACCATTCTGGCTTGCTTCGATTCCATGGCAGCCGCCATGACTCAAGTAAAAGAGAATCCTCATGTTTCTCAAGCTAATCCCAGCTCCTGGGTAGAAGCAGGAGCAAGACAATTTTGACCTCTCTAATCTCTGCCCGGTAGACTTCTTTGTCCCTTCCTTCACAATTCCACTCCTTCAGACATGATGTAAGCGCTTCAGCGGCCCGAGAGATCCCGGTTTCTTGATAATCTGTCCTCCCTGCTATTTGTTTAATTCTCATCTGATCTATTCCCACTTTTTTAAAAAAAAAAAATGTTAAGTGGTAAAACTTATTAACATTTATTTTTATCATGTGTTGTGTCTAGGGGTGTGCATACCTTACCGGTATTTTTGGTTTTGTTTTTTTTTTTAAAAAAAGCCGATACAGAGTAGAGAACCTGATCTGGCTACCAATATAGTTGAGCCCAAATAAAAGCCAATATTAATATTCCTAAAAACGTCCTAAAGGTCACTTGCCAAGTTGTGCTGCTGCGGTGGCGTGGTTTGGAGAAGGCATTGAAAGAGACCACAGTCTCTTTAAATGCCTTTCCCCCCTTCACTGAAAGCAATGAAGGATGGGGGCATCTTCTTTAGGGGCCCATAGAACTGGACACCCTGGTCCAATCTTTTTAAAACTTGGGGTGTTTTCTGCTGGTGCCTCTACCTCAAAAAAACCAGTCCCCCCTTCTCCCCGCCCCCATAATTCTCCATTATGGGAACCAAGGGTCCCCATAGGGTATACTGGAGCAAGAAAAATTCGAGTCTCCCGAGTATTTCCCAAATCCGAATAGTATTGGGATTCGGGAATATCAGGAAATGACAGTTTTCAGGTTCATTATGCCCAAACCCAAAAAATACTGTTGCTGGGTTTATTTGCACACCCCTAGCTGTATGACTTGGGAACACCAATCTAAGTCTTCTGGGGTTCACTAGTCTAATTGTTAAAGTTCCTTTGCTGATTATGACTTCATCTATTCCCAACTTAATGCTTGCTGTTCCTCCCAGTGGAATCTGCCCTTCTCTGGCTTCATGGATTATAAGGAAGGCCCACCCCACCCATCCCTTTCTAACCCTCATACTTTTCCAGAATATCACCCTTCTCCATGCATCCCGTAACCACAGAAACCTGGCAAGTCATCCGGTGAAGCCCTCATCACATTTTGTCCTGCAAAGTGCCAGAGACTGTATCAAAGTGGGTAACTTCCCCAGGTAGAAAAGGGTGGTAGTTGCAGGCAATTTGACATTTGAACCTTGTTAGAGGCAGATAGTCCTCCCCCAAAATGTTATTATTGTGAGATAATGCTGTTCAATTTAGTTGTGGGGTAATTTACACTGACCTACTGTAATGGACTGGTATGGCTCCAAAAATAAGGCAATTTAACTTCAAAGCTTTATTTTTCTGGCCTTTTGTCACTGCGGCCTGGGCCATCAGTGGGTCCTGCTGGACCGCCAGGCCCTAGTAAAGGGTATTCTTTGCTTCCATGTGGGAGCCCTGCATACAGGTCCATCGATCCCTAACACGGTCCTTTTTTTTGGTGGTAAAAATGGACTCCCCCTCAGTCCTTGTTCACCAGTGGAAATAATGGTTGGATCCAACCCAACGAAAATCTGGAGTGAGCTAACCGCTGGGTAGTCAAACATGAATAAAGTAATTCTTTAAAAACTGCAGTGTGCGGACTTCATAGACATACAACTTTAAATGCATGCACTTCCACAAACCTCCCACAAAGGATTTACCGTATTTTTTGGACCATAAGACGCACTTTTTCTTCCAAAAAAAGTGAGGGGAAAAGTGTGTGCGTCTTATGGACCGAATACTGAGCCCCAGGGCTCAGAATATTTTTTTCCCTGTTTTCCTCCTCTAAAAACTAGGTGCGTCTTATGGTCAGGTGTGTCTTATGGTCCGAAAATACGGTACTTATACTCTTGAAGAACATCCCATTTGTGTATAATTTCACAAAATTTTAAAAGGAAGAACATTTTGTTCCTGTGTTAAAACCCTGAAAGCTGAGGACCTGAAACCAGCATCTCAATCCAAGTGCATTAGGCAGCACAAATATTACGTAGCCAAAAATATGTTTAATGCTACAAAAAAAAGACATTATTTATACAGATTCAGGACAACTCACTACAAATAGCTCAGAAAAAGAACCTGGCCAGAAAGCTTCTGGAAAGCACTGTGAAATCCCAAGCCAGGCCTTTATGTACACATTAAGGCATTTTGAGATGGATCATCTTGTGATTGTCAGGTACACTGAACTAGCCCATACTTTTTCCTAAGCGGAACAGCATGGATGGTGTGGTCCAAATTAGCAGCTGGGCACTCCCCCACCCCCATTTGACCAGAGCACTAATCCCTGTGAACCTTCATAAATGACAGGGAATATTTGCTGATCACTCTCCACACTGCAGATGTGCCAAGATGATGTGTCTATAGATGCAAGTAGAGAAATTATAACACGTTGTACAGTCCCACAATTCGGCTGCACCACACCAATCAATAATATTAAAACACTTCCCGGTTTATTTTTTTAAAGAGATCGTTCTAAATCGTCAGTAACACTCAAACGAACACCGTGCAGTGCTCTGTTTCCATTGGTTTTAAACCGCAGAGTTGAGCACACCGGGGGGTGGGGGGGTGGAAAGTGCCATCAAGTCTCATCTGACTTATGGCGAACCCACAGGGTTTTCCAGGCAAGAGACAAACAGAGGTGGCTTTGCCCTTGCTCTCCTCTGCATAGCAACCCTGGACCTTCCTTGGCGGTCTCCCATCCAAGTACTAACCAGGGCCGACCCTGCTTAGCTTCCGAGATCTGATGGGATCGGGCTCTCCTGGGCCGCCCAGGTCAGGGCTTACTTTGGATCTGAATGCAAGGGAACCCCAGATTTTTGTTACTAAAAGGGGAGGGATTTCTCATCGATCACCATGACAGAAGACTGCACTGAACCCCAGTAGAGAACTAACACACACGACCTGCAAAAGGAGAGAACAGGCAGCAAGAAAACTGGAAAGAGCCAGGGGGACCTTGAGAGAGAGGCGAGCAAGCCGCAGCGGGACCGTAGACCCCAGCCTGAGTGACTCTTATTCTCGGAGGTCGAAGGGCAGAGGAAAGTGAGAGAGGTGCAGGGATTTTACTGGTCTTGGCAGAGACAAATGGGGGCTCTAATTCAAAGAGAGACATAGAAACAAATTAGAAAACACCATACGGAGAAAGAGAGAGAGAAAACAAAGTTGTGAATGCTCTAATACCACCACCACCCTCCCAGAGAAGGGGAAAAAATTTTTTTTTGTGAGTAGAATGGTCGTGTTAGGGAGTCGTCATCTCTTTGCTCAACAGTTCACAAAATCCTAGATCGAGATACTTTTGAGCTCCTGGACTGCTTCCGTACCCCCATGCAAGCCCACATATTATACACTACGGGACCTTGATTTTGGGTAAGCACATACGTGTTATCGCTGTGAAACGTGCCTGGCAAAATATTAAAGGCAGCAGCGTGAGCGGTGAATTGAACGGTATTTGCCTGTCCAGTCTTCAAAGGGGCACGTGAGTGGGAAAGGAGAGAGAGTGCAGCTCCCAGGGGGAGGGCAAAATCTGGTACTCCCGTGGCAAACCTCATGGTAGCGCCATTCACACTGCTAACGTGGACGGGGCTACCGTGGCCAGTGGTGCTCTGCCCACTTCTGATGGAAAACCCTAATGCACGGCATCTCTGTCATCCCTTAATAATGAAAAGGGCTCTCTCTTGTCTGAAGCAAGGTTAATACTCTGCAGCCCTCCATTTATTTTTGCTTACATGCCACCTTCCTTCCAAGGAGCTATGCATGGGGTTCCTGTAAAGGCCGACCAAACCCAGCAGACTGCTGTATCACGCGCCTTCAAAACATGCCCTGGGACTAACCACTATCACATCACTGCCAGGAAAAGAGGAAATGAAGAGTTTTAAGAGGCCACAGCTCACCATTTTTTCATATTTAGCTGACAGAGCTGTGGCCACAAAGTATAGTCTGGAAGGTCTCCGGTTCAAACCTTGCCTCTGCCATGGACTCGATAGGTGGCTCTAGGCATGTCATCCTATCACAGCCTCAACCCCCACACCAGTAAGAGTACTGGCCTTGTTTTGAGAGCAATTGGAAAGGACAATGTGTATGATGATGCTCTGAACAGACAGCATGACATAAAAAAGTTATTGACTGCGATCACACACACCAAATAATCCACTTTCACTGCACTTTCCAACTGGACTTTGCCAGTTCACACAGTAAAAATCCAGTTGGAAAGTGCACTGAAAGTGGATTATTTAGTACGTGTGACTGTAGCCATTAATGTCAATGACAAAGTGGCCGCTTCTGGGTGGGAAATGCAAATTGCAGCAGAGGAATGGGGAAGGGGGGGGAAGCAATGGGGAGGGGGGCACTTTAGAAGCTTTTCCTCATCCACTGCTTTAATTCTGCAGTTCATTTCCCCAAAACATTTCCCCATCCCATGGAGCTCCAGATATGCTTGCATTGGAAAACACATGGGATAGGGTTATTTGGAATAGCTGGTGGTGATTATGGGGGGCGGGGTTTAGAGTGGGAAGGTGAAGTTCTCCTCCCACCATCACAATTTCTCCATTAAAAATAACCATCCTCAAAGGTGCACAGAAAGGGTTTTGTTACATGGATCTGTGTAATGTGTAGTTTGGCCCTTCCATCAGAAGTTTCCTACAGAAAGCAGCGACTGACACCTCGTCTTCTCTCCACCATAGCACACTCTTCCCTACCATCAGAAAGTACGCTGCAACTGTGCTGCAAGTGCATTTCAGGCCTTTTAGACTCTGCCGTGCTCTTTTCCAATTTAGAAGGGGTGGGTGGGGAGAGACCTATCGCTATACCCCTTCACCAAACTTCAAACCCCGGAACAGGAGCTGGGATAGCCCTGCAGATAGAGAAAAGGTACGGCAGTGAAAGAGGGGAATAGGTGGCAGCAGCGAATGCAGGATGGGTAAACAATATGGCAGGCAGGCAGCCTCCATGCAACTTCCAGCAAAGCTAGCTTAACTGATTCAGCATCAGATACCACAGAAGCAAACAGACCATTGGAAGCCCAATCTGGGAACATAATTCAGTAATGTGAAGACGGGAATTCTGTATTTGCTCAGAAGGACGCCATCCAAGCTGCTAACCCTGCAGGGATTTTTTTTTAACCAATCAATGCCGAAAAGATCCATAGACCAGGTGGCCAAATTCAGTTACGCTCACAATAAGTTAGACAAGGTGGCCAAATTCACATACGCTCACCTTTCCCTGTGGCATCACTGCCAATGGCTGCTATCCTGTCATTACACTGTTATGGGCAAATCAGGAACATTAGCTCCTTATACCTCCTGACTTTGTGCCTTCATGGGACTTGCCCCCTAACCAAAATCTTGGCTCAGGAAGGAAGGGAGTTGACCTTCCAAAAGAGGTGTGCTGCCCTTGTCCATATGCAGACAGAGATCATCCATGAATGACCAAAGTTGTCTCCTTTCCAAAACCAGACCAAAAGAGGTCGTGGCCAGTGTTCCCTCTAAGCTGAGTTAGTGTGAGCCAGCTCACAGTTTTTTAGCCTCTGGCTCACACATTTTTGTCTTAGCTCAGGAAGGAGGGCTCCAGAGCAAACTAATTTATGCAGCAGCCAAATGCTCACTCAAAACTTTCATGCCAGTAGCTCACCAAGTAGATTTTTTGCTCACAATACTCCACAGCTTAAAGGGAACATTGGTCGTGGCCAGATAGGTCATCCCAGAATATTTGAAAACCTATGCTTGATCACTTGACCCAGAAGAGGCAGGTTCGAGATTGGCCAGATATTTTCCCCCCTAGAGAAGAATTTTTCCAACAACTGTTCTGTCACAGCCACTCTCAAACTTGCTTTCTATTACATGTCTTAGGGGAATCTTCTTGTTTGATCCTCCTTCATCCAATTACAGTTCTTTTCAGTCACCAGAGGTGAGTAGAAGGATTGCCTTACAAAACTTGTAAAGCAGTTGGGTCCCTGAAGGTTTTTTTTAAAAAAATAAAATAAAATTCAACTGAGAGCACAGTACTTCGTTAGCCACTAGCGGCTCATGTTGTTGGGTTCCAAAAGATGATTTATTCTCTGACTGATGTTTTTTACTTTTTGCACACTTTGATGGCATTTTATGTGTAAACTGCCTTGAACCCCCTTTGGGAGATGAAGTTGGGATGTAAAAAATTAAAACGAATAACTTTTTCCTACCGATCCACTTTGGCTTCACGTTGCCAGCTGTACTGCTCCTTAAGGTTGAACATCCTTTTCTACCACAAACTCGCCTTCCATGTACCATCTTTAGGCCTCATCTCCCCACTTTACTTAGCTTTGCTATTTCTCTTCACCCAAATGAGACTACTAGGTACTATGGCATTTTAAAACTATCTATAACATCAAGAATGGTAGTGGTACAGAATGGTTGCATCAGTGCTTAGTTTGGTGTAGTGGTTAAGTGTGCGGACTCTAATCTGGGAGAACTGGGTTTGATTCCCCACTCCTCCACTTGCACCTGCTGATGTGACCTTGGGTGAGTCACAAGCTCTGGCACAGCTGTCCTTGAAAGAGAGCAGTTTGTGTCAGAGTTCTCTCAGCCCCACCCACCTCACAGGGTGTCTGTTGTGGGGAGGGGCAGGGAAAGGAGTTTGTAAGCCGCTCTGAGACGCCAAGTGAAGGGTGGGGTATAAATCCAATCTCTTCTTCTTCTTCTAGTTCTTGTGGCCCTTTCTTACACGCCCAGGGAAATGCTGATCACCACTTTGGGATCAGGAAGCAATTTTTCTCCAGGCCAGTTTGGCCAGGGACCCTGGAGATTTTTTTTGCCATCTTCTGGGCATGGAGCAGGGGTCACTGGGGATGTTGGGGGGCAGGTATTTGTGAATTTCCTGCATTGTGCAGAGGGTTGGACTAGATGACCCTGGAGGTCCCTTCCAACTCTACGACTCTGTGGTGCCAGGCAAACATTAAATTGCAATTGTTTGGCAAAGAAAGAAGCTATCTACAAAGCATGTTCTTTCCTACCCACACTTATGGTAATGATGAAAGATAATTTTGGATTAACGCACTGCTAAAGTTTCCACTTCTGAACGTGGACACCCTGACTCTCTGGGTATGAGCCCTTAAGATACTATGTAGCCGCCCTGAGCCTGCCCCGGCGGGGAGGGCAGGATATAAACCTAATAAATATATAAATAAATCATAGCAAAGGTTGCTGATAATCAGTCCAGAGGGAGGCAAGAACTATTTCTGCCCACTGCGAGTCTCCCTCAATGGCAGGCAGCCCCCTGATCTTTGGAATGGGCTGCAAAAAGGAGTGTAAACATCAACCGTTTGTGTTTAGAAGCTGTGGTGACCCAAATTGTTTAGAAGGGCCTCTGGACAGTTTACCTTTACTGTTCTTTGTTGCCTTGGATAATACAGTTTATCTTTGACTGAGGAAAGGCTAAACCCCAGAAAACTGTGTTGGCCCCTTAGGTGCTACTTGGACTCAAACTTTGTTCTGCTAATAACAGACTAATACAACTACCCACTGGAAGCTAGCAGATTTCCCCCCCCCCCCTTATCCTGTGTATTTAGAGTTGCCAGTTCCAGGTTTGGAAATTCCTGGAGATTGGGGGGGGGGGAGAGCCTGGGAAGGGTGGGGTTTGGGGAGGGACTGCTGCGGGGTATAATGCTGTAGAGCTTGGGTGTCAAACACAAGGCCTGGGGGGGCAGAACCAGCCCATCCAAGACTTTTATGCGGCCCATGAGCAACTGATGCAAGACTGTTTGGGGGGGGGAGTGGGCAGAGCCACTTCGATTGTGGCTTCAGCATGGCGGAACAACTGTGTCTGAAGCAGTCAAGCTACGTGGGAGCGTCTGCCCAGTGCTGCACCGCTGGTTCTCCAGTCCCCCCATAAAGGTTTTCCTTTGCACCCCCTCCCAGCCTCTGAGGCCTTGCAGTGAGCTTACCAGCCTCTGTCCTTTATCTCCAGTACTTGGCAGAGGTCGATTCGGGGGGAATCATAGTTCCCCCGGGTGAGGTGCGGGGGCACACGACGAGACCCCACCCCCTGCTTCCGGCCCTCATTCAGCCAGGAGGAGAAGAGGGAGGGTAAGTTGCTTCCTCCCCGCCTCTCCCCACCCCTGCCTGCCTGGGGCCAGGGAGGGCCTTCCTCGCACTCCCTCCAGCCTTGCAGGTCCACCGCCGGGCCCCTGATATGCTAATGAGTTCCCCTAGCTCTTTTTCTACGAAACGACCCCTGGTACCTGGTATTATGTTCTATGGCACACATGATCTGGCCTGACAAAGTAACACTTATGTCAGGTCCAGCCTTTATAACAAAGGAGTTCAACACCTCTGCTTAGAGTCCACCTTCCAAAGCAGCCATATATATTTTTTTAAAGCAGGAACTGATCTCTGTTGCCCCGGGGATGAGCTGAACTACCATGAGATCTCCAGCTATCACCTACAGGTTGGCAACCCTATGCGTATTTGTTGATACAGTAGTTTCTCACACACACCCCCTTTAACCAACCATATATATGGAAAACGCTTTGAAGAGTTATTTGCTTCCAGAAAAGCAGAAAACGTTTAAAGAAATAAATCAACACTCATAAGGAAGCAAAAATGTGCTCTGCTCTATCCGCAGAACCAGTGTCCGTCCAGCACAGTCAGACAGGAAAGTGATGCTATCGCTACTCCAAATTGCAGTGGCTGGCTGATCCAAGAACTTCCCATGTTGGACCTTTTTTTTCATCAAAAAAAGCATGAAGTAAGCAAATAAAGAAAGAAGCATGCCAAGCTCCTCGCGGGGGAGGGGAGACCTCAAGGAAAGCAAAATCCCGTCCAAAAGCTCGAGCTCAGGCGCTGCAGATGTGTACGGCGGGGGGACGGGGGACACCCAGAGCTTGCCCTACAAGAGACGGCTTGTCACAAGGCCCTCCGAGCATGCGCAGAGGCCTTCTGGTCCCCCTGGCTCTAGAGAAGTTCCGTCTCCAGGGGGCGGGGCACCACTGACCTCGCGCAGGCTCCGGAGCGCCTTCGGCGGCGAGTCTCTGCCCTGCGCACATGGATCGCAGCATCTGGAAAACCGCCGTGGGCGCCACGTTCATACGCAGAAGGTCCAGCAGAATTCTGAAGGAAAGGGAAATGGGTGGGGGGAGAAAAAAGAAAACAGAAGAAAAAGCGCTGCGTCACCATGGCAACCGCCGCCTCTGCCCACACCTGCCCGCTCCTTCCGCCCCTTACTTGAAAACTTCCGGGTCGATGCTCGTTCCCGCCGCCTGCGCCAGCTCAAAGAGCTCTGCTTCTTCCGTTGTCAGGAGTTTCCGACGGGAGCGCGTGGCGCCGACGACGCTAGCTTTTACCGGCCCGGTTGGTTCCAAGGAGGGGCCCGACATGCTGCCCGCAAGAGCCGAAGCGGAGACGTGCCTCTTAACGCGTCGTCTTTCCCGTTTACTCTGCGGCGCGTTGTCAGGCTTCGACGTCATTATCAGTTCCGTGTGGAACTGTGGGAAATGTCGTTTCTCAGAGGCCCAAGTCCGTTAGTCGATTGAACGTTAGAACTTCAATTCCCAGGTCCGCCTCGGCCAGCGCAGCGGACGCTTCCTATTAAGATTCAAAGAAACCATTGGCGATGACGTTCTATAAGAATTCTAAGACGCTTGGAAACCTCAGCCTTGTAATATAATCCGGTGCTGCTGTTCTTATAGGGGAAGATAAGAACATAAGAGAAGCCAATGTTGGATCAGGCTCTGTCACACAGTGGCCAGTGACCCATTCTGTCACACAGTGGCCAAAAATACCAGGTGCCATCAGGAGGTCCAGCAGTGGGGCCAGGGCTCTAGAAGCCCCCCCCCTGTTGCCCCCCCCCCCCCAAGCACCAAGAATACAGAGCATCACTTGCCCCGAGTCCCTATCTATACCTTGTGGCTAATAGCCACCGATGGACCTCTAAAGCTGAGAGAGGTTACTACAGTGTAGTCTAGTCTTCAGCAGACCCAAAGATGCAGCTTCTACCCAAAGGATGGAAACCAAATTCCTCAGTCTTTGCTACAGTTGCCAGCTCTGGGTTGGGAAATTCCTGGATATTTGGGTGTAGAACCTAGGGAGGGAAGGGACCTCAGCAGAACATAATGCTGCGGTAAGCACCCTTGTAAGTGGCCATTTACTCCAGTGGAACTGAGTCTGCTTCCTTTTGTTTAACAAGTTTCAAATCTATGAAAAGACCCATCCTCTTATCCCATGACTGTTAATTTTACTCAGGGGTGTTAGGAGAGGAACTTTATAAAAGGCTTTTTGAAAGTTCATGTATGTAATGTTTACCGGGTCACCCTTGCTCACCTGTTCATTAACCCTCAAAGAATTCCAGAAGGCCAGGATTTGTTGCTCTATATGCTTAATAATTATATCCTTATTAAAAATATTTTTATGTTGCCTATATACTTCCTTGGTATGGCTAACAAAAGAAATAAAACAACAATACAAATTAAAACAGCAACTCAAAAACCTTGCAACAGCGAAACTGGCTACATGTATCAAGTGAGAAGCCAGTAAAGCCATCCTAAAACCAAGCCATAAAACATATAGGCCAAGATTTTTCAATATCACCCAACAATAGCCCGCTTGCGGGGAGGGTGGAGTATAAGTTTGACAAATAAATAAATAAAGACTCATAGAAATAAAACAGCTAAATAGGTGGTTAAAACTTGTTAACAGCATGGATGATTGTTTTGGCCCAGCACCTAAAATAATAATGGCAGTTTACTTGTAACAGATGCAACTCTAAGTGGCCAATAATTTCCTGGATCTCTTCTGAATCCTTTTTTAAAAAATAGGCATTATTTTGCTGCTTTGCGGCCCTTTTCTAGAGAAAAACTGTTTATTTTACATAGGCAGCCAACAGGTTCACACTGGAATTCCTTGAAAGACTTCCTCTCTCTTGCCTGATCTCGTGACTCATCCTCAGCTTTCACAGACAGAAAGCAGAGTTAAAGTGTTGGGTATTACAAGTTGAAAACACTCGGTATATCTGGGGTTAAATGTTTGTTTATGTTACTCACAGGAAGTCACATGTTTCTCATGTAACCAATGTTCTTTAGCTGTAGAAAGCCTGGGAATTTTCTCCCTGATCTAGGAATCTGATTGGGACTAAAGTGTCAAGGTGTATTACCATTTTATGGCTTCTCTTCCCGTCTTTGTTTGGTGTTCTGAAGAACAAGAAGAGTAGCCATACTCTCTCTCTTCTAGTTTCGTCTTTGTAGAGTAAGGATGTAGCCGATTATGCTCTGTTGTTATTTTCATCCCAGTTACCCTTCCCATGCTAGAATTTAGTAAAAACTTTATATTTTAATCACACATGGACTCTCAGTCTGAATTATTTTACTCTGGCTCTGCTGGACTACCTTATCTCTGCTAAATACCATTTTTTCAGTATCACCCAACATAAAGAGAGGGGACAAAGATGAAGACAGTCTGTGTTCCCTCCCTTACACAGCTCTGTAAAAGGCAGCTGCAGGCTGTCAGAGGGCAACTACATGGAATGGAAGAGGCTAGGGTGAAACAACTTCTCTTGTTTTTAATCTAATTAAAAGCACACCAGGATTTCTCCTTCCAGATCACTGACTTTCCCCTTCAGGCTGTTCTTCCTCTATCACCCTCTTTTCCAGCCTCTAACAGTCTCCAGTTCCATGTCTCGGGTAATGAGAGCCTTAGATGATGCCAGGTTAGATTGAAAGTCTGTGTGACTCTCTTCGGGATTCTCTGCTCACCCTGACTGATGTGGACAGACTGGATTTGTGAAGGAGGCCACCATTTCCAAATATGATCCTTGCCCATCATGGCTGACAAAATACAGCTAGGGGGATTTTACAGATGGAGCCGTTACCACTTATCTGATAAAGGGAAATTCCCTCAAGCCTTGAAAGATGTAGTAGTGAGGCCTCACCTTAAAAAAACACACACACCTGACTTCAGTGATCAAAACGGGTTTCGCATTGCTTCTTTTCACTCACTGTTGTTGCCCATCTTCAAGAGGTCGGCTGATGGAGAATTTAAACCGGTACACCGGCCCGAACGGCTGCTGGAGAGTTGCTCGGCAATTGCCTTCTTCGCGGGAGGAGATCAAAGCCTGTTTCCGCTTCTTCCGAAGCGGAATCACGCCAACCTAACACTCCCTCTTAGGCGCTGCTGCCTGCTTGTCCCCCCCCCCCTCGCTGGGGAGCGATGCGTTGGGCTAGAAACTGCCCAAACTGTTGAAAGCGGCCGTCGCCCACTTCGCACAAAAGTGAAAGTGCGTCAGTCCTCCATCTTAGCTCGACCGGAAGCCTCTAAGCTTCCTTTTTAGGGTAAGATGGTTGAACATCTGGTGGCAGAACAGCTTCAGGTTTTTCTGAATGGCAGTTCTTTCCTGAATCGTTTCGAAAAGGCTTCAGGCTAAGGTTGCTGCGAAAGTTCACTGAAATATACAAAAGATGTTCAGTAGAAAATTCAACTTTTCATGATGTTATTTAATTCTTGTTTCCAACAGGTGCCAACAAGATGCACAGCACAGGAACAGGACGAACACTTCTCGAGTGTATCTGCGTTTGTTGTTCTAACACTTAGTTATAAAAATTGAAATTGAAAATTGAAATGGAGTCCTATGATGGACCATTCAAATTGTCTCACAAGGCTCCTATACACAAAAGTTCTTTCCCATCGACAACAAGTCTTGTTGTCGATGGGAAAGAACTTTTGTGTAAAGGAGCCTTGTGAGCCAATTTGAATGTATGGATACCGTTGTGGTGATTTAAACTGTGTGAAGATCATTTAAACTGTGTGAAGATCATTGAAAGATCATTGAAAAGTGAAGTTTGATAAAGAATATATCTCGAAACAAACGCAGATACACTCGAGAAGTGTTCGTCCTGTTCCTGTGCTGTGCATCTTGTTGGCACCTGTTGGAAACAAGAATTAAATAACATCATGAAAAGTTGAATTTTCTACTGAACATCTTTTGTATATTTCAGTGAACTTTCGCAGCAATCTTTTTGTATTTATTGTATGTTGTTGCTGTGCCCTGAGTTTATATAGTTCAGGCTAAGGTTGCCAACTCCAGGTTAGGAAATACCTGGAGTTTTTGGGGGTGGAGCCTGAGGAAAGCAGGGTTTGGGGAGGAGAGGGATCTCAGTGGGGTAGAATACCATAGAGCCCACCTTCCAAAGCCGCCATTTTCTCCAGGTGAGCTGAGCTCTGTTGCTTGAAGATTAGTTGTAATCCCAGGAGATCTCTAGCTACCACTTGGAGGGTGGCAACCAGGGCCGGCCGTAGCAGCAGTGGGGCTTTAGGCGCAGAGCCCCACCACAGCACCCTAGCATGAAGAGTGCTGCTCCGTGCCACCGCCATCCTCCTTCCGGGTGCCAGCAGCCAAGAAGAAGGCGAGTGCGGCATCCAGTGCAGGTCAGCCGGCTGCAGGAAAGGGTGGCAGCTGGGCAGGCCATGGCAAGGCTGTGTGCCTGTGCACCCGGCTTCTGCTCTTCGTGCTGCCTCACCTGTCCTTGGCCAGTGAGTGCGGCTACTGAAACTTGGCTGACCACCTCCACCGCTCAAGAAAATCCAGGGATGGGAAGGAACCTGCTCCTCGGTTTCTGGGGGGGGGGCCACTGGGCAGGCCATGGTGGGGCTGTGTGCCCGGCTTCTCTCTGCCCTCGTGCTGCCCCATTCCCCTGAGAGTGAGGGGAGGCGTCTTGTGATCCAGGGATGGCCAGGCCCAGGGTAAGGATTAAATTAAATTTAATTAGCGGTGCCCCGGGGTCATTTCGTAGAAAAAGAGGTGCAGTAGCTCATTAGCATAACTTATTTGCATATGCCACACCCCTGACATCACTGGAAGTGTGTCAGAAGGCAACACCCACCGCTCAGGCTCCACTGGACTGTTCTGGATTGCTAGCTATTGGGGAGGGGGAACGTGCAGATCTGCCCTCACGGAGGAGGGAGAGCTGGTACCTGAATAAAACTTAGTCTTAAAGGTGCCACTGGACTGTTTTGGATGGTTAGCTATGGGGGGGGGCGGGGAACGTGCAGATCTGCCCTCACAGAGGAGGAAGAGCTTGTACCTGAAGGCGGGCTGGGGGGGGGGGGGCTCTGCAATTTACCTGGCTGCTTCTTGCTCCTTGTGGCCCGACTGAGGGCTGCTGGGAGCAGGGGGCGGGGCTTGTTGCATGTGTCCACCCCCTGGGCTCCTTACTGCCGGAGCTCCACTCCTGTGCGCTCCCGCAGGAAATGACCCCTGGCGGTGCCCCCCCCAAGCCCTGGAGCCCCCTGGAAAAAATCCTGGCTATGGGGCTGTTGGCGACCCTACCTCAGGCCTAGTTTTGGGATCGGTGGGCGTGCTTCCTCTGGCAGATGGACAAATGAAATTCTTCACCGTAGATTCTTTCAGACCTTTCAGTGTCCTTGGCTACAGCCAATGGTACTGT